TTCTTCCCTCTGAGGGTGACGGAGCACTGGAACAGGCTGCCCAGGGAGGTTGTAGAGTCTCCTTCTCTGGAGATATTCAAGACCCACCTGGACAAGGTCCTGTGCAGCCCTGCTGTAGGTGACCCTGCTTCGGCAGGAGGGTTGGACTAGATGACCCACAGAAGTCCCTTCCAACACCTAACATTCTGTGATTCTGTGAAAGATTAATATTCCCCTGGTGCAGGAAAAAGTAAAAGGGTATAATGACAGTTTGTACACAAGAAAAATACTTTGAACTCAATGCAAGATACGTATGTTTAAAAAATGCTCAAGTGTGTGAGTTTCCAAAGACTGACAGTAAGCAAAAGCATGTAATCCCTGAAACTTCAGGAGTAAATCACATTGTCTAAAAGTAAACAAAGAAAAGATGTGGCAAACAACTGATTAATATTCTGTTCACACTATCTTATAGGTAAGCACAGCATTGACTGCAGTAATGTGTACTATTAGCCTACCACAAATATGCTATGTTGTTGGGTTGTTTGCTTTTTTTTTTTGTAATTAGATTGATCCCTCCCTTGAAGGCTTAGAATCATCAGACTCTTCACTGAAGTCTTTAAAAATGTTGCCTTTATGTGCCTGCCTATTGCTGTATTTGGAAAAAGAGCTTCTCACAATGTTTGTTCCAATGTCATTGAACAAGCTATTAGCTGTTTTATGATAATGTGGGTTTTAAAACAACTGCAGAAGTTTTGTTATGAAAAATATAGAAAAGATTCTTAACAGATTTTTCTTTTTTCTCCTCTGCTGCTTGCCAATATGATCAGATGGGATGGTAATTAGTTTTCTTTACTTCTGCTCTTCATTAATCTAATCTTTATATCATTCCAGTAAATTTATAGCTGTTAAGAATGAAGTCTTTGTGGTGCTTCAATAGCTTTTGAGAAGACGTGCTCAAATCATACCTCTAAGTTAAAAAATAGAAAACAAAGAAGGTCAGAAAGCAAGACTGTTGTCATTGTGAAACTCCTTTTAAAAGCTAACGAGAATGAGAGAAGCTATCCAAGCTTCCTTTACAGAGGACAGTGTAATACCTAAATTAGAGAAACTGATGTTGGAGAAATAACTACTGCCCTCCTAAATTTAGTAGAGGATGGCAGAAAAGAGTAACCATCCTCAAAAAGAAGTTATGTGCAATTGAGAAAGTACTGGAAAGTTGAGTCGATAAACAGCACGTTATGAAATTGGTTAGCTGTTTTATAAATGCTTATGTCATTTTGTAGCATTTTGGTAACTACATGTTTTCCATTTTAAGATTACTCCGGTTGAAGAAAAGGCCAGCGTTATGCCTAATTCGCTACACATTTTTAACGCCATAAGTGGAACTCCGACAAGCACAACAGTTCATGGGATGCCCAGTTCTTCTTCAGTTGCATGATTGTTTTGTAAAGGGAAGTATGTTCGTTCTTTTTAAAGTATGTGGATTTGCTTCGTTGTGTGCAAACTCAGGATGATTTTGAAGCTAAATGTTGGGCACGTGCAAGCTGCATAATTCATATGAATGTCTGAGCACACTTAGCAAATAGCAGTTACTGGTAATAGTCTTTTAGAGTAAGGGAGGCGCACATATATTTTTTAATCTTGCTGGTAACGTTTGAAAGTATTCACAATGTCATTGCAGAAGTGCGTGTTGGAAAATTATAAAGTTGAAGTTAATTTCTCTTTTTCATTAGAAAGTATTATTAAAATTAATTGCACATTACAAAAAAGTGTTGTGGGATGTAATTTTGCAGATATGTAACATTCAGGTGTTCTTTTTGTGTATGGCACATAGAGATTGATTCCAAGTACAAGAACTATTTTGGGGCTAGACAGAGACACTAGTTTTTTGGGTTTAATGGAACTGACAATAGTAGTTTTTGTACCATTTGGCAAATTGTTGTGCTTTATTTTATACCTTGTTGCATTTTGGAGGTATGTGAGCTTAGAGCTTATTAAACAACTACATACAACCAAAGGTCTGTATTAATGAACACTGAGTTATACTAAAATATCAATAATAGTAAATTGTTATGTACATATTGTTTGTTAATACAGTCCATACAGTCTGTACATAAATGTATTACATTTCTAAGCATTTTTTAATATTCATACCAGCTCTTATCCTTCTGCTTTCAGTTTATTGTGAAAATTTGCTCATTCCAAGTATATGCAGACTTTACAGTTCATTTATTTCTGTATATAAATAAGTGCAATATAAAGATGTATACAGTCTTTGCTATGTTAGGTTTATATGCAGTTATTAAAAGAAAAAACTTTTTTGCCAAAGTAATGGAGTATGTAATTGGTAATCATGGTTCTGTGGTAAATGGTGGTATAATTTAAAGCTTTTTCCATATTATTATTCTTTTAAGACATTAATTTAGTAATTTTATATTGGGGAAAATAAAGGTTTTTAATTTTATTTAACTGGAAGCACTGTCCTGCTGTAATTAAACATTCTGTACTACATCTATATTAAAAAGAAAAAGGTAGTTACTTTTCTCACTGTGTGCGCTGGTTTTTATTTTAGTTTTGTCCCTGAGGCTGGGGAAAGATGAAAACTTGATGAGAAAAACCTGAATTTTTACAGCTTAAGTATGAGATGAGATGCAGACGCTTCTAGGGTTTATTTCATATTCCTTGTCAATAAAGGGAATTTAGGTTATTAGTTAAGACATTAGTTTTGGATCCATCATATTTGACTCAAGTATCATGTTACAGTAACTAAGGGTTGTTACTCACCAGTACAGTTAATATTAGGAAGTCTTCAAACTTTTCATCATATGATAGTAGAAATCATATTTTCCTTTATGACATAAGGTTAACTGTCATTTTCTGTAGTGCAGCATGAAACTCATATGTTGGCACTATTCAGCAAAGATTTTTCCAAAACAGCTCATCCTGGCAGTAAAATGCTGGATAACTCTGCTTTTTCCAATTGCGTTTCTGAGACAAAATTCCTATTTGTTTAAAATTCTTTTCCTTAAAAAACAAAACCAGGTAAAGACTTGTAGACAGTGAACTCATAATGCTGTGATAAGAGATAGTCCCCTTTTTCCGTCTCTACCCTATATGCTTTCACTTTTTTGTTTGTGGAAATGGGTGTAGAAATACTTTGTTATCTATCAGTGTAATTAATCTCAAAAGGTATTTCATTATTAGGACAAAATATCCTGTACAGTTGTTTTGCCATTCAGGAAGATTTTGGTGTCAATATATTAATAGAAATTGTGTACATCGTGGTGGCTTCTTGCAATTTCCCCACTTTTTCCAACTTCCCCTCTGCCCTGGGAGGAGCACTGACAGTTTCCTGCAGTTGTACACCACTTTTTGCACTGAGACCTCAATTTGACTGAGTTGTATCTGCTAACCAACTTATAAATGTAGTATGTATTCATAACTGAATATGTATCTGTGTATATTTATATACATCTAAGTATACCAGTAACTGTTTTGCTTACTTGCTGAAAGTTGGCCTATGAAACATAGTGAAATGTATAATAATTGTATATTTTCTTTCTTATGTATCAAAGTATTTTAATCCATTTCTCCATTATTTCATATTAAAAATAGTTAGGCTTCTCTGGGTGATCATAATGCATTGGTTCTTAAAGTTTAAAAAAATTCAACATGCATTAAATGTTTGCACAGGCAAGGTGTTTAATATGGGCATAGTTTCAGCAGATTTGGGGAGAACGACTTTCTTGCCTACTTCACCAGCAGATACTATGATGGTTTGTTTAATTTTTTCAGGTGATTATGATGATATAGGTTTTTCACCTACCCATGAAATATGGGGATATTTTTACTTCTTCCTTTTTAGCCCGATTCGTTAAGAAAATTCTGCTTATGCAATTCACTCTATTCGTCCAACAATTTGGTCCTCTCCCTGCTAACTTCTGAAGCTGTTGACCAGTCTTGAGCTTTGCCAAATTTGACTGAAGAGTTTCTACATGCTTGATGAAAAAATTGGCTACCAGAGGTGCTAGATTTAAATTGATAGCATTGCTTATGAAAGCTCTGCAATGTGCAGAGGACTTGCTCTCCAGCTGGCCAATCAGTAGGGCCAATAAATTAGCATTGGTTTAACTCAGAATAAGTGATAACATGGCTTCCTTCCCCAGATGAAAGTATATTCCGTAGCATACTGTGGGTAGGTAGCATAATGTGGAAAGAAAACTACATGTACCACAGATGAGAGGAGGTAGAGTCACAGGAATGGGGAGGCAAGGTGGCCTTAAGGCAACTAGAGATGAGGGAGTGTGTGGACAAATCAGGAAACTGGGCCTCTCTGATACCAAAAAATCGTGCGACAAAAATCTTTTTTCAAGATGCTGAGCGTGCCCTATTTTACTGTTGCTGCAGTTACATATACAATAGCAACTTGTAATGTGGTCTTTGGGGTCTTTGCGGTTAGCTCTTAGGCTGGACATGGTAAAAATAATGTTACACCTAACCATAATGTTATAAATATTTTTAAAATAGTATTTAATTAAATGGAATGATTTCAAATAAAACAGTGTATTTAGACGAACCTGGCGCTTGATGAAAACACCTAGTCTAGTAAATCAGGAATGCTTTTTTTCTAATATCCAGTTTCTTTTATCTGTTTTCTTTGTGAGAAGACTTATTTTCGGTAAATACAAGACACATAGGTCACTACCTGTCTTGAAGGCTATCTGGTGAAGTTTGGAACTAGAGTTCTGTGTTTTTCGTGAACTGAAAAACTTTGTATTTAACTGTGCTCAGACTAGGGGTCCTGGGGCTTCTTGGACAAAGGGCAGAAAGAACAAACATTGGGTAGATAATGACTAACTTCAATTGTCTGTCTGGCATTTGGAGAAGTGACCATTTTAACACCTTTCAAATATTTTGGTGGTGGCTTTTTCCTTTCTGAAGTATTATATTGAATGTATAATGAGTTAAAGTAAAGCCATTTAGACTCTAAATATCTTTTGGTCTTGACACATTTACTTTCAATTATATCTAGTGATTAGGCAGTATTTCCCTTTCAAGTTAACTGTAGTAGATATTAGAGTTTTTGCTGGCATTTTCTGCTTAAGGAGGACTTTTATTATTTCTTGTCTCTGTGCAAAAGGTTTAATTGTGTTTTTTCTGCAGGAACAAGGTGTAACTGATCTTAGTGAAGTACCTTGGGGAGTGCTACACCTTGTTTAACTGATACATGTTGTGAATGATGAAAAAGCACCAAGAGCTTTGCTAGCTCCATGGTTCTGTTTTGCTGCTTGGATTATGCTATAAAAAATTAGCTAGCTGGAAAGACAGAAAGGAGGAGGCCAAAGGGATTTAAGTAAATTATCTTTCGCTGTGAATCCTTAAATCATCTTTCTTTTTGTATGCATGGGCTTATTCAGCTGCTGCTTTGATCAAGCTTGAGGACCTGGATGGCTTTCAATGCCATACAGTTGTGGCTGAAGGGCTACCACACCTTTTAAAGCCAACATCTGGGTGGAGAATCTTCCCTTCTGTCTTGGGTTGACATGTCTGTTATTTCTTCCCCCAAATACTGGCTAATGCAGCCACAGACTGCAGGTTTGCTGCATCCAGTTTAATACAATATTGCATGAATTCAGCTAATACATGTTTGGTATAAATTCCCTTTTTTAAAAAAAAAACTTTATCTCTCTCTGTTCTGTAAGATTCATTGATGCTGGATACCTGAGCAGCAAGTGTAGCTTCTGAGGATGGTGGGTTTTGTAGCTAGTGCTTTTTACATTTGTCTCTGTGATATCAGACTGCCTAAAATGTGAATGTTTGACTTGACAAATTAAGATGGGGGACACAAAAATTATGAGCAAAATTGACAGAACTGCAGCTGAGATCTTTAATACAGGCTCATGTCCAAAAATAAATATTCTTTTGAGTTAGTTTCGTTTCCATTTAATATTTTAAGAATTGGTATAAGGTTTAACCAGCTTTACACGGACATAAGTTTCAAGTTAATGAAAGTGAGACATCAGATTTTTTTAAGTGTGTGAGGAAAAGGAGACGTCTACCAGTCTAGAACAGTTTTTGGACTATATACAAGAAAATGCTGGTAGCCACTCAAGAAGTAAGTCCAAGCTGGCGTTTAGAGTTCGAACAAATGGAATCTGAAGCCTGGAAGAAATCTGAGCAGAAATTGGCTGGATCGTTTTGCACTAGTCAACATTATAGCACAGCTACCACAAGAGCTGAAACTTCTGATGTGAACTGTAAATGGAAGAGATAAGGTAAATAGAAGAGATAAGAAGTTCCCAAGGATTCAAAACAAACAAACAAAAAAAAAACCCCACAAAACAAAAAAAAAAAATCACAAACCAAAACACACACTCAATTAAGCAAAACTATTCAATCCATTGCTCACTCCATAACTTGGAGAACTCTGAACATTGCTTGGGGAGAGACGAGTCCAGAGCAATATTTCATTTAGTGAAGCTTTCGTAGCCACCTTAACCATAGTAATCAATAACAAGGCGTGTAAGAGGACAAACAGCTTTTATAATTGGTCTAATGAAATGGAAGCTTTGTCAACGCAACTACTTAGACTTTTAAAAGGCCTGTAACAGGAAAGAAAATGTCTGTTCAGCAGCAGCCTGTTGAGGATGGGGTTTTTCTTTCAGATTGCTTAGAACTTTTCTCTCTCATCATCACCAATGATGGATCCTTCTTCTGCATCCGTAATTTGAAACAGCTGAATATTTTCTCATCGCAGTGTGCTTAGTAGACTGTAAAAATACATAATAAAGCCTTGAAACAATTTATTTAAATGTGCCTAGAGTAATTATGTGACTGGGATTTTTTTTTCTTATCACTTGTTTACTTGAGACAGATAAAATAGGGGAGGTGACACTCTACACTAAAATTGATTGTTATCTGTTTTGGAGATACCAATAACTCTGAACCATAGGGACAGAAATAGAAATGAAGGAATGCACCGGCTGGCAAAGCACGAGGCAGCAATGTGTTGGCAAAGAGCTGTGTTGTTAAAGCTCAGAACTGGATGATTAACTT